TATATATATATATATATATATATATATATATATATAAATGTATATATTATTTAACACATATGTATATATGTATTTTGTTTTTTTCCCATCCTTTTCGCTATTCTCTTCCCTATATCGCGTCGATCTCTAACGGGTAGAGGAGTAAATAGGGGAGGGGGCGGAGGTATCGATTTTTCGATTAGATTCAAACGAACTTTTATAGATAAAAGAAAAAAAGAGAGTAAAGTACAGAAGGAAAAAGGGAATGAGAGAGAAAGAGAGAGAAACAGAGATAGATATATAGAGGAGACACAACGTATGGTTATTATATTTTGATATAACTTGAGGAGGGTGCCCGTCAAACGTGGAGGGTAAAAGAGAGAGAGAGGGAGTGAGAGAAGAGAGGAGAGGAGAGTAGGTAAAAGAGGAGGGGAGGATTTCGAGGGTGGGGTTCGTTGAAACTCGGTGCTCGTGTAGACTCGCGTACGCGAGTGAGTGAGAGAGTTAGTGAGTGAATACGAGAGTGAAAGAGAAAGAGAAAGAGAATGATAGAACGAGAGAGAAGAGAGAGAGAGAGAGAGAAAGAGAGTAGCAGCACGGTGCAGGAACGACAAAGCGGCCATTGCAGGATGGGTGCGGTCCCGCGGGCCAATCAGAGACGCGAGCCGCGGACCGTTCGGCCAATCAGGCCGCGCCTTCTACCCGTCTTTTGTTTCTAAATTCGCGCGCGCGACATAACGAGGACGAGAGAGTGAATGAGAGAGAGAGAGAGAAAGAGAAAAAGAGAAAGAGAGAGATAGAAAGGGAAAGGGAACGGGTGAAGGGGAGGAGCGGGAAGAGGGCTTGCCTGGTAATCGTTAACGGAGATATTTTTCTGCGCGAGTTATCCCTACCTTTCCTCCCACCCTTTTCCTACCACCCTACAACAGCCTTCCTATTCCACCCACACGTCCAGCAGCAACAGCAACAGTAACAGCAGCAGCAACGTGTTCTTCCTTTCGCGAGAGGACGATTCTCCTTTTTCCTGTTTGTTTTTATTATTTTTTTGTTCTTTTTTATTTTTTCCCTAATTTCTTGTTCTCCTTTCCTACCCTCTTCACGACTCACCCTTCACCCCGTTCTTTCTCAACGATTACTTTGCGACTTTCTCTTTACGTTTTTCCTAATCTTCTAGAATCTTTTTTTCTTCTATTTTCTTCTTCTTATATTTCTTATTGTTACGTCTTGTTTTCGTTGTTTTTGTTTTTGTTATTGTTATTGTTCTTTCTCCACTATCTTTTCTCATGCTTACTTCCAATCCAAGCCAAGTTCTATCAGTCTGAGTAGCGATGGCACCGCGTGTCTCGGTGGAAGATAATTATTATAAAAGGACCGACGCGCGTCTATATTACGGGTGAACGTTCCTTCGAAGAGATTGCTACTCTCATTTTTTAGAGTTAGATTAATTATAAAAGAAGGAAAGAGAGAACGAAAGAAAGAAAAAGAGAGAGAGAGAGAGAAAGTGAGAAGAACGTAAAGAAAGTATAAGTTTGTATCTCTATGAATTTATTAACAAAACTGACCACTTCCCCACCCCCTGTTTTACAATTCTCCACTATTATTTTGTTCGTACAAAAAAAAAAAATACAATCGTAGGAGTCTCCCGCAGTGAAATTAATCGAAACGTCTTCAACAGACTTTTCTCCCGCACTATGGTTCGTTACAATCGAATTAGAAAGCATAAAGATTTCTTTATTCGAATAGGTGGAAATGAGAAGGGTGTGGGTGTGAGAAGAGGATGGGACGGACAGGATTTAGTTTTTTTCTTCTTCTTAATCTTTTATCACGTTAACTATTTTCTTCCATTTAGTATAATATATACTCACGATGTTATATACATATATATATATATATGTATATATTTTTGGCATATTATTGAAAGTACCACGATCAATCGACAATCTAATTCGACTTTAATAAATCGTCCGGATCGTTTTGACTAGACCCTCGTGGTGGTTGGTTGGTTGGTACCTACCAGCATCCTACAATTCTGATTGCTACGGGAATCGAGCACAAACGGACGTAATTTCGGTGCTTCGGAGAGGGCTCCCGATACTTCTTATGGGGGTGCCAAAATTATACCCTGACTTATACCCTGCCACGCGTCCTTTTCGGTGAATCAATATATATATATATATATATATAGTACGTGCAGGTGGGGTTTTTCTATACTTGGTATTACCATTTAACTCCTATCTTTTTCTATTGATATCCAAATATGAATAACATCTAAACATCTCCCCGATCTATATAATATATTTATTATAATTGATAACAAGATACTCACAAACGAGTCCAATTTTCAATTATGAATAATAATTCTCGATGATAGGGGAGAGAGAAAGAGAAAGAGAGAGAGAGAGAGAGAGAGAGAGTTACTCGATTTGAAGTACTAGAAAACATTGATAATAAATCAAATACCATCGACGTAATTCGTGAAATTAATTTATACGATTGACAATATTCCAACTGTGAAATTTCATTTGACGCGTATATATATATATATATATATATATATATTAAATTGAATATTCGTCAATAGTTCCTTCCTGCTATTGATAATAAATTGATAATTAATACATCCTTTTTTTTATATATTACTTTGATTCACAGGATAGGATTACGAGTAACTCTTACTTAATTATATAAAGTATTCCTATACTTATATATTATAGATATATTTTGTTCATTCTTTTTATACATCCACACATATATACATAATATAATATAATAAATGTAGAACTTTGTCGCAGAGTCACGTGCGAGAGAGGTAGTAAAACGAAAGTGATATTAATGAGAGCTTGCGTCTCGCTCGAATCGATGGTTTTAGCGGTCATTAGATAATGTGCCGCCGCTTGGGCTTGTTAAAATGTCACGGCTGCGTCGTTAGAGTTATCGATTTCGAAGGGATGAGGGTAATATCCGTTAACGTATATGCATACGACCAAACTTTGTCGGGTTCAATCTGCACACAGAGAAATAATTAAAAAAAAAAGAAAAAGAAAAAGAAACATGTTAAATAGAAAAGACTAAGTTTTGCTAAATTGTTAGAATAAAGGGTTTGATTGGAGTAATAAGTAAAATATTCTTTTAATACACCATCATTACCAAACACAAACACTAAACGAAGATTAGGGAGGGTGGGAAAGGGAGATATAAAATTCCACTTACGTTTAAAGTAGTAGTTTTACCAAAACGAAATCTACTAACCAGTATTATAGTAAATTCTTTGATCTTTAAACGCATTCGAGTGCGTCCATGTGCGAATACGTTCTAACCTACGGATGCATAAAATCATTTCGAGTTTCTCT